TCCGGGATTACGAAAATCAGTTGAGAAATTTGATATTTCTCTTCGAGACCATGTCCGAAGAGAGTATTTGACTAGGGGACCTTGCCAACCGATTGGCCATATGTATCCAAAAACATCATTTGGTAAACAACATAGAAGTTTCCAAGATAGTTGGTATCAAAAGTTTGTATGGTTAGAGTATAGCATATCGAAAGATGCGGCGTTTTGCTTTTGGTGCTTTCTTTTCAAAACACAAAATAAGGGAGGTCGATATGCAGAGGATGCCTTTACAAAAACGGGATTCAATAATTGGAAAAAGGCAATGGAAAGATTTAATGAACATATTGGAGCTGTGAATAGTTGCCATAATGATGCTAGAATACAGTTTGAAAGTTTTCAAGATCAAAGGCATAGTGTGTCAAATGTGCTACGATCTTGTGGGCGCGAAATAGATATTGCATATCGCACCCGTTTAACTGCTGCTCTGGATGTGACCCGCTTTCTTTTGAAGCAAGGATTGGCTTTTCGTGGAAATGATGAGTCAACTAGTTCTTCAAATAGAGGCAATTTTCTTGAATTGTTTGAGTGGTATAGCCAGCGAAATACTGAGATTTTTGAGGTTGTAAATCAAAATGCTCCTGCAAATAATCAACTAACTTCTCCAATGATTCAAAAAGATCTGGCACATGCTTGTGCCTCAGAGATCACAAGTGTTATAATCAATGATATTGGAGACAATTATTTTCCCTAATAGTTGATGAGTCTCGAGACAGTTCAGTGAAAGAGCAAATGGGAGTTGTTTTGAGATATGTGAACAAAGAAGGGCGTGTGATTGAACGTTTCCTTGCAATTGTACATGTGTCTGACACCACATCTCTTTGTTTGAAAAATGCAATTGATTCTTTATTCGCGCAACACGGATTATCATTTTCCAAATTGAGAGGTCAAGGATATTATGGAGCTTCAAATATGCGAGGTGAGTTCAATGGTTTGAAGGCCCTTATATTACAAGAAAATCCCTATGCGATGTATATTCACTGTTTTGCTCACCAACTCCAGTTAGTTATTGTTGCTGTTGCTAAGGGAAATATCATTGTCAGTGAATTCTTTGTCTATGTCTCTATGATTGTCAATTTAACTGGAGCATCATGTAAAAGGAGAGATCAATTAAGACAAATAGAACATGATAAGATTGTTACACTTTTAGACAGTGGAGATATTATTAGTGGAAAAGGCAAAAATCAAGAAACTAGTTTAGCAAGACCAGGGGATACTCGTTGGGGATCACACTATCTAACATTACTTCGTCTATCCTCTATGTGGGCTTCGGTGATTGGAATATTGGGAAATATACAAGATGATGCCACCACTTCTGACAATAGAGGTATGGCCAGGGGTTTGATTGATAGAATGAATGATTATGAGTTTGTTTTTGCATTGCACCTGATGAAGTATTTATTGGGAATCACAAATGACTTGTCACTTGTTTTGCAACAAAGGGATCAAAATATTGTCCAAGCCATGAGTTTGATTGATACTATGAAATCTCAATTGCAAGACTTTAGGGAAGAGGGATGGCAAATAATTTTAGATGAAGTCAACAATTTTTGTGAGTTGAATATGATTCCCGTGATTGATATGGAAGACAGTATAGCAATCCGTGGCAATGCCAGGCGCAGTCGCAGAGGTTAAACCATCACTAATTTTCATCATTATCGCGTGGAAATTTTTTGTGAGGTATTATTTTTGAAATTATTATTTCATTACATTTGTTACTTGTTAGCAGATTTTCTTAGTTATTAATTTTATTATTGTTGTGATGTCAGGTTGTTGATTTAATTATACAAGAGATGAATAATCGTTTCTCGGAAGTTAGCACGGAATTGCTTAGTTGCATAGCATGTCTTGATCCAAAAAGTTCTTTCTCTCAATTCAATGTGCAGAAACTACTCCGTCTTGCTGATTTATATCCTGAAGACTTCTCAAGTAACGATTATTTATATCTTGAGTCTCAACTTTGAAATTATATTTATAATGTGCAACGCGATCCTCAATTTTCAGAAGTTGGAGATTTGGGAAGTCTTGCTCAACAAATGGTTAAAACTGGTAAAAATACAGTTTTTCCATTGGTTTATCGTCTGATCCAGTTGGCATTAGTTCTACCAGTTGCGACTGCTTCTGTTGAAAGAGTATTTTCTGCAATGAATATTGTCAAGACTGATTTGCGCAACAAAATGGGAGACGAGTGGATGAATGACCGTCTGGTTGTATACATCGAGAAGGATATTTTTGCAACAATTGAAAATGAGCAAATATTGCAGCGTTTTCAACGGATGAAGACTCGCAGAATGCAATTGCCTCCTCTTCGTTATTCGAGTGCAACAACTACCAATACTTCAAGTGTTAATCAATAACAAATTTTTGGGTATGTATAATTATATGTTTTTATTATTTTTATAATTATTGATTCTAAATTTTACTTATTAAATATATTTATTTCGTCACAAAAAAAAATTTTAATACACTTCAGCCCCCCCCAAAAATAAATTTCTGGCTCCGTCCCTGCATCCATATACTAAATATTCAAAGTGAAAGTATTAAGAGGAAAGTGAAGGATATGGTTCTCTTCAAGCAAAAAGAAGAAAAGGCCCCTGTTACTAAATTCAAACCTGACATGCACGAGGTATGCATATAAAATTAAACTCAAATTTACAGTCAATTTTTATATTTATAAATTTCTAAATACCCCTCACAACATATCTGAAAGTATACGGGTCATAAGCGAGTATAAGAACATAAAGCGTCAAACCCATAAGGAACACATAGACGCAATTATTAGGGACTTAAACTTGCTCTATTATCTAGACTACCAAATAAAGTCTTAAGCAAAATAAAGTACACTATGAAAACAGTAAAAACAGGTTAAGAAAAGGTGGAAATCGACTAACCCAAGACTCAAGAGTATAGAATCCACAGCCTAATTGTAATTGGTAATCAAATGGCCAGGGTCTTCCTAATGGCTCCTGTCTTGCTCGGGGTCATTTCCAATTATAACCTACACCCGCTCTCACAACTAACTAGCGCTATCAATCCTAAGGTTCTCCTACTTTTGTAGGGAGATCCAAAGTGAATGGTGAATCTATTTCATGAAATTTACAACAAATCCCCACTTAAGGTACCACCACTTTCATGTGCTTACTCGTTAGATTTTATTTATTTTCTTTCCATTAATGAATAGCAAATTTCTTTGCCTATCCATCAACTAGTGTGACCTAAGATTGGTGGTCAAGCAACCCTAAGTGTTAAAGCCAAATAAATAAACAAGTCAAGTACAAGGCATCATGAGATTAACCAGCATCAACCATGATCACAAATCAAGTGTTTCATCCATCTCCAAGCAAAAGATTAGCTAGACATAATGAAAATCTATACAAAAATAAGCACAAGTCACTCATATAATCATACACAATGTAACAAAAACTAAAGAGGAAAGGAAAGAAATTGCTCATTCATATTGAAGAAATAGGAGTTCCTCCAACAACTCCACATCCTAGAATCCATTGCATCAAGATTACACAATGACTTTTCTTAATCCTTGGCCTCTTTGTTGAGCCAACACTAGAATGGACTACAACTATCATAAACTATTCCTAATCTAAACAAGAGACTAATTTCTTACCAAGATCAACATTTTGTTGTGGTTTTTCTCCTCTTTTCCTCTCTATTTTTCTCTGCAAAATCATCCATGAGAAGTCCCTTCTATAGGGAAGAGGATGGTCGAATTACTGTGCAAGTTGCGCTGCTCTGCTGACACAAATCGGACCACGAAACATTTGCAATTCACTGGAATTTTTATAAACGTGCCTAATAATCACTATTGTATCAAACACAATATATAGATGGTTCTCTTGGTAAGCAAATTGATTGATCAAAAGCGAATTAGGTTTTTTGATGGATACTAGATTCTTTAATTAAACAATGACAGACTCCAAATATATTAATGGATTTTGATAAATGCTTATTTTGCATGTTTTTATGTAGTTGTTTATGTGTATTTTGTTGTGTTTTCAATTAAGTTTGAGTTGAATAACTAGGTTTTTAGTTGAGTTTTGCATTTTGTGGTTGAAAGGAGAAACATTACATTTCTATGTACTTAAGTAATTAAAATTTTATGTTTTGTAGGTTTCATCAATTCAATCATCATTTGGAATGAAGCAAGTAGAAGTTTGAATGATTCTTGATGAATTAAAGTGCATTTAAAATGATTATGAAGTGTAGAAATAAAGAAATGCAATGCGTGCGAAACTTGAGCAAAGGAAGGAAAGATTCCTGAAGAAAAAAGCATTTGGGGCAATCCATTGACGGATTCTAACCTCCCAAAACCAGATTCAGGAATGGATTAAATGCAAAGATTGAAAACTCACGAAGAATAAAGCCAAAGAACAGATTCGCGGATGGATCTGCGGACCTCGAGTCCGCGGATGACTCAGAGATTGCATTGGGACTTGCGGATTCTTGGCAGGAATAGGGGAGCAATCCATCCCACCATCTGTTCGTGGACTGCGGTGAAACATTTGTGATCATTAGGAGGTACCACAATCCGTCAGAATAATTAGGAGGTACCAGATTTGTTTCTATTGAAACATTTGGGATCATTTTGGTGAATGGAATAAAAATAGGGGACAAAAATTGCATTTTCCACTTCAAAAGTAAACCTTGTCGGTAACTACAACAAAAATGACCTTTCCTGACATGTTTATAAAGACACTTACTGGTTTGTGTAATTATAGCACTCCTATCATAACACTTATTATCAACTCAATAATATAGACTCTAATTTTTTTTATTTTATCAGATATAAAAATAATAATGTGCCTTTAGACTACCTAATATGACACTTGAGAAAATGTAAGATGTACCACAAAAAAGAAACATACAAAACGGCATCGTTTGATTTTGGCGGAAGATTTATTTGCTGTAAAATACTCAAAATTTTCATTCTCCCGGCCAAAACACTTGGTCAAAACACTTAGTGAAAATTTTCATTTTCCGGCTCCACTATTTCCAGCCCCTCCTCCCCTTCTCTCTGTCTCTCTATTGTCAGATTCCGACGTAGTTGGTGGGAAAAATGGGTAGCAGCCAGGCGGCAGTTTCGTTCTTGACCAACATAGCCCGTGCCGCCTTTGGTTTGGGTATCGGCGCCATCATCCTCAACTCCTCCCTCTACATTGTCGACGGAGGGCAGCGGGCTGTCCTCTTCAACCAGTTCCGTGGTGTCATCGATGACACCATTGGAGAGGGTACTCACTTCCTCATCCCTTGGCTCCAGAAGCCCTTCATCTTTGACATCCATACCCTTCTCCACACTTTCTCCTCCATCTCTGGCACCAAGGATCTCTAGATGGTCAACCTCACTCTCCGGGTCCTCTCCTGACCCGAGGTCTCCCGCCCCCTATTTTTTGAGTACGTTTAACAACTGATTTGGAAAATACTAAATGCATAGCAGAGATGACATCAATTGCTATATATCGAGCTTATAATCACCTATCATCAGTTGAGGTAGATTGGTGGAAGTTAACAATTGGAAAATATTCCAATGGGAGTGTACCTTTATATCATACTTCATTTGGCACACGCAATCATGAGTGAATTAGAAACTGATCATATCATCCGAGTTACTCATTTAAACTACGTACTTGATTAATCCAACTCTCAAATTCTTCATTTTCTCCTCCTTTCTTTAGAATTTAGGGGCATCAATTCAAGCACCACTTTCGTTTTTGGGTTGAATCCACACAATACTTGGATGTGTGAATGTCATAATGTCTCTTTCTTTGTTTTTCCATATTTTTTCTTTTTTCGTTCTGTAGAATATAGCTTATCAAACATTAACTCCAAGAAATTTTTTTTGAGGCAATTCATCGAACTCTAAAAGCATAAGTGTAACTAACTGGTCCAAGTAGTCCACCGTCCTTTTGTACATTAGCTTTATTCATCTCGGCTGTCTACTTGTGGAATGTGACTATTTTGTTATGAATTTGTTGTCCATAATTTGTTCGATAAAATGTCAAGTAGAATGCAAACCTTTGGTGAGGTGCATAAAATGTTATGATTTCTTAGTAAATATCATCATAAATTGTTGTCTGGGTGTTATTGTTGTAGTATTCTGAATAATAATAATCTCAGTGGAGAAATTTCTGATCAACTAACCAGTTGTTTAAGCCTTGCCACATTGTGAGTCCATCCTGCCTTTGTTTTCTTTCATTTGAAGCATCTGTAGTTACTGATAAATCTCTTCCACATGAATGTTTCTTATAACAATTTTCCTGGGGTTTTCCCCGTAGGCAGAAACTTCTCAAGGTTTCCACCTGACAGGTATGTGGCAAGCTGGGCTTCATATAGGTGATGTCTACTTTTTTGCTTACCAAGAAGGAATATAGGTGATCTTTTGACATTTATTCCTTTTTCTTCCCTTTTCAGTTTCATTGGAAATCCACTGTTAAGAGGGAACTGGCTAGGTTCAATAAGTAGTCTTGGTACTTCAAAATTCAAAGGTATGTTCCACAGTTTTAAATCCAGTTCAGAGTAACTTTTCTGCAGTGAAAAAGATGCCGGAGACAAGGTACTCTGGTTGTAATATTGGTGCTTTTGGGGTGCAGCAATATTCTCCAGGACTGCTGTGGTTTGCTTAATACTAGGCTTCATGATGCTACTGTCCATGGCCACCTTGGAACTAGGAAAACTCTGCTTGCAAAAGCTATAGCTGGTGAAGCAGGTCTTCCATTTTTTGCAGCCAATGGGAATGACTTTTTGGAGGTAAAAGATGTCCTGTTTCTATTTTTTTCTCTTGTGCTCTAAAATCTTCTTTCGCCAACTATAGGTAAAACAATTCAAGTAAGTTTGGACAAGAAATTGCAATTTGATATGTAAGCTGTAGTAATTTTGATAGGGTATTAATTTGGAAATTGTATCGACAATATGAGGTGGATATTCTTTTGATATTACCCTTGAAAGTTCTATATCTATTAATTCTCATATCAACAGAATAAGCTATATAATCTGATACATGGTACGGATGGTAATTTAATGATTTCCTCCACTTTGGTTTCTTACATGCATTTTATATGTGTGTCAAACTTTTGATGTGATAAATGTGCTTCTGAACATTGAGCTTTATATTGCTGATAATAAAACTTTTAAGGAGTTAGAATCTAATGCTAGAATATGGTGATTTGTGACTAAATTCCACATTAAGGGTTGTATTTAAAGGCATAATATGAGGATGAGACATGGTTCTTCTTCTGTTATTTTTGCACGTTTAGAGTTAAATGCCCATGTTAATAGAGCAACCACTCAATTCTGTGTTTTAATCAAGTGAGGATTAGCTCAACTATGTGGTTAAGAAAGTAGATTGTGATGGACAAAGTGCAATTTTAAATTTTCTCCAATTATTGTAACTGGTGTAGATGTTTTTATAGCTAAATATAAGTCTTACTATGATGCCTATTGCTGTTATGCCTTATGCATGATAGCAAATATATAGGTGAGCATACGTCTATATGAGAATGCAACGATGGGCTAATAATATGTTCTCTTATTTCAGACTTTTTGCTTATGACTGGATTGGCTGCAGTTGTGGTAGCTGGAGCATATATATGTAGGCTAGATACTTTCAAGTTTGTGCACATGAGAATCTTTCAGGGATTTGCTACGTTAGTTGTTACTAACTTTTAGTTCAACAAATTATATTTAAACATTGAATTTTGCTTTTCGATTACTATATGCACTTTGTTCTTTGGGATAATTTTACAAGTCTTTTGGGTTTCTGATTGATGGAATGTATAGCAGGGAGCATTACTTGTAGGTTGCTTCTATATCAACAAAAAAAAAAAAAAAAACTCCTGACAGTTAAAAGTGTCAGCATAGCTTAGTTTCTAAAGTAATAAGTAATGACACTTTGGATTATCAAGACAAGAGATTTCTATTGATAAATGCAATACTATAACAGCTTAATTTTCCTTACACTTTTGAATGTTACGAGCCTATTCCCACATTGGAAGGGACAACACTCGTCCGAGGTGCGAGGAAAGATAAAGTGTCAGGTTAGATTATCTATACTAACACCTTATGCCGTTAAAGGTCATTTTTGTTGTACTGCAAAAAATCTAAAGTAGGTATTTGAGTTGATAACTAAACTAAGTAGCAATTTGGAGACGTGTAAGCCTTGAACAATATTCTCTCCTTGTAAGACACCAATTTTGTATAATTACAAGTCTATCCACAGATTAGGTTGATCATTATCAATAAAATTGGTTCTCTGAACAGAAAAAGTACTAAGATGGAGTCCATTGATTTACAACTTCACCTGGCATAAACTTAAAAAAGTTTAATTTGAACTTAATTTTTGAAAGCAAATACATTGATCAAATGAAGATTAAGGATGCCTTATAGATATTTCAATTTAATTTGCCATGTAAATAGCGACACATTTGATTAGACGATGACACAAATTGAACAAACATTATACGATGAACGACAAATACAAGCAAGAGAATAAAATGAACAACATCAAGAAAAATAGAAATCAGCCTAATACATGACACTACTGCATATGACTCCTTAAATGCTTCATTATTGAAAGCACCCTACAAATCCCTTGGTTCTACAATAGATGAAATTAAGGGGCAATTATGGAGAAACTAGACACATCGTTTGACGTGACTCTCGCCGATATAGTCACATCTAGGGTTGTAATCGAGCTAAGTCAAGCTCGAGTATTGCTATACTTGAGCTCGACTTGACTCATATATACCTAGGCTCGAGCTCGACTCGAGCTTGATCGAGTATAAAAAATCGATACTCGAAACTTGACTTGAAAAACTCGCTTTAACCTCGAGACTCGATTCGATAAGGCTCGACCTTTAGTCAAACCTTATCAAGTCGAGTCTAATCAAGTTTTTTTACTCAACTCGACCAAAAAATGAGTTATTACTTTTTATAATTATGTTATTACTTTTTTGCCATTATGAAATTTTATTATAAAGAAGAGTTTATTGTAAATTCCGTAAAACTTATACCTATAATGGTCATTTTATAATTATAATACATATATATTATTTAAATTATAAATATATTATTTAATTATCCCTGACTCGACGAGTAGCTCGACAAGTTTCGAGCCTCAAGATATTGGGTCGAAACTCGACTCGAATGAAAATCGAGTAGCTTGAGAGTCGGCTCGAGCTCGGTTAACCCGAGTTCAAGTCAAGCCGTTGACTGAGCTACTCGCGATCTACTCGATTATGACTCGGCTCGCGTACATCTCTAGTCACATCTACTCAGGGCACAAAGTTTATTCCAAGTCACATCTACTCAGGGCACAAAGTTTATTCCAACAATCGATATCAGTAGAGTAGAGGTGGCAAAATGGGCGGGATGGGCGGGATTTGCTTGGGTTTGAAATGGAACCGAGTCATATGGGTTTGGGTCCAACCTTACCCATATGTGTTTTGGGACTAACTTGGGCGGGATCATTTTGGGATGGGTTTAGATTCATCCCACCCAATACCCAAATTCATTTTCTACATATTTTTTTTCCTTTAATTCATTTTTTATTTTTTATATAATTTTAATATTTTTGATTTATTAAATTTCTTTAGTTTTATTAAATAAACATGCAAGTGCTTTATACTCAAGATTCCCACCAAAAATTGGATTAACAAATAAAGGAAAAGATAGATATACAGCCATATTCCAACATATATCAAGATGGCCAAGGTCCTTAGGATGTTGAATATTTATCCTCATCATTGTCCAAGGATGACAGGTCTAAACTACCTGAAATGCTGGAAATTCTTGTGGATAATGACTAGGAAGACTACTAGATTATATTCGCTGGTATGACTATAAAAATTGTTAAAGATAATTTTTGAATCTAAGACTCCGTTTGGATTGACTATTTTTTCAATAAATAAGTTTTTCAAATACAATGTTACAGTAATATACAATAACTCAAGAAACATCCCATCCATATTAGTATATCAAATATTTCAAAAAAATTTTATAGTAAAAATTTTTCATATACACGGCTACAATAAAATATTTCAAAAACACCTACCAAAAACAGCTAATCCAAACGGAGCCCTTGCCATTTGAGCCCAATGGGTACCCAAGTATTTCCCATCCTTTCCCATTCATTAATGGGTATAGTTGGGATGTGTCCCAACTTAAACCCAATACCAAATTATAATACCCATCCCGCCCAAAGTTCCTTTGGGCATGGGTAGCCCATTGGGACTTGGGACAAATTGCCAGCTCTACAGTAAAGCATGGGAAAGGGCAAATTGGTTTTGCTCCAAGTTCCTTTTTTTACTCATGTATTGTTTGGTGCGTCCAAATGAGATCTATATGTCAATGGTTGAGACTTCAACAACTTGAAATGTCCAATGTCCCTGTAGTGCATGAACTGTTTCTATGTCTTCACACAAAAATTTTCAAAAGTAAAGAGTTGTTTGGAGTAAAATTCGATAAGATTTAAAAATTTAAGATTAAATAAAATTAAGCTTAATAATGGTGATTAGGTCTCAATAGTTATTGAACTCAGAAGTCAACTTGTCCGTGCCAGTTTAATGTATTTGTGGGCGGTGTTGAAACCAGAAGTTGAGATTTGCTGGGCAAGGCAAGTAAAAATGGTACTATTTAGGGGGACACTCTTACATTTTTGTAAAAATAAAAAATAAAAAAAAAAACTCGGGTTGAAGAAGTCCAACATTTACGAGGATATAATTGAGAACTTCTAAGATCATTGTGGGATATAAGAAAATTTTTGGAATCCTAAGCGGTGCAAAGTTTTGACTTATACAAAGACATTAACGTAAGAACTTTAACTTTTAAGGGGATTGATGTTGAAAATTTTAGCTTACTTTTTTTTTTGTGCGTGCAGGAGAGAGGCTTGAAGCAATCACAAGAAAAGTAAATAGTTTCAGCATTTTTGAAGCTTTCTCCATTTCTTCTCAATGCTGAATTTTTCAGCAGCAAATCACCGGCTAGATATCTCCTGAGCAAGTTTGATGGTTCGGGTCTCAATTCGGAGACTAATATATATAGGGGAAGGCAAGAACCATAAAACTCACTGGTGCTACTGGGGACGTTTCCTTTCTGTGTGCTGGATAGTTGTCAATCATTGAAAATCATTTGTTTCAACCCTAGCTAGTTAGGTTTGTGATGGACTGAAAAATTTTTACTAACACACAGCCCATGTGATTACAGTATCCAAGAAATACAGTATAATGCGGTAATGCATGGAAAACACGCTCTACCATACTTTTCTATGATTATTATCTGTAGAAATTGATTTAGAAAATCAATTTTCTGTGCATGTCAACTTTGCTATATTCCACATCCAAACACAGGGGTTTTTCTTGGTCACAGCTTTTGATGGACTAATTTCACTCCACAACACTTAATTTATTATCTATTCAATAGTGTCTTTGAAAACATGTTTTGCCCCGAATGAAAATAAACAGGATGAATATAGCTTTGGTCATTTCATTTTTGCTAAATAAAGGCAAAATTTGAAAACAACTACAAGATTTTGGCTTGATAATCAACCTTTGGTACGGCCTTGAAAATGGGGTTCATGAGTGGAAACAATAATTAATCTTGAGGTTGCTGAAGAAGTTTTGCTCTAATTGTTCAGATTGAGGCCCTAGATTTGAAGGTTCTAGATTTAAATCTCTTTTCTTCGTTCTCGTTTCTTAAATCCCATTTCTTTCCTATTTAAAAAATAAAAAATTTTAATTAATCTTGTCGCAGAAAACGTCAATTCAAAAACCATAATGATGGTAATTTAAATTAATAGCGGGGAAAATTAACAAATAAGTGGACCAGTTATGCCACATTGCGGTGTAGTACCAATTCACGAACTACATATAGTACTTTTTGTATAGATTTTTACATGCAAGATTAATACCATCAACGGAAATTCGCAAAAATTGATAGATTTATCCACACAAAAAAAAGGTTCTTTCATTATGGTCCTCTCAGGAGGTACCCTCACTGATACCATGTGGTATATAATCAACAGCATGAACAGTGGCGGAGCTAGGAATTAACTTTGAGGGGGGAGTCTACGGCAATGAAAGTAAAATATATTTACAAAAAAAATAATGTGAACATATATACCACAAGATTAGAAACAACTTTATATAAAATAAAAATTACTTATACGTTTCACAGATACAAAAATATCATCATATTTACAAATCTATTTGACTGTGTGGGACATATGATCTAAATCCACTAGTTGTGAAGGCCATTGATCCAAAACGGTCCGTTGGCTTGGAAAAAAGTGACCAAGGAAGACAAAAGGCAACATTCTTTGTTGGAGAAAATTCCAACCAATCTGGAAACAATTTATACTAAGAGAAAAGGAAACGTCAGCCCTTCTTGTCAACAACCATTGATTCAATCGGAAGCTCAGGTTGGTATGGCCCAAACTTAATATATGCTCTCCGTACCTCATCCCTTTGAAGCTCTAGATATTCCCAAATGGATTTTCGCTTTCCAGGATCACGTTCTATGGATGAAATATCAACCTCTAATGATTCAGCTCTACAAAATTTCTTTGTTTGATGCTTAGGAGAAGAATCACAAAGAGGACAAGGAGTTTCACCACTTCCACTTGGTTCTAGACGTCTTTTCTTGAAAAAAGAATCAATTGTCCTGTTGGCCATTACCACTATATTTGCAACAAAACAACAACCTGTAATCGAAATAAAATTGATTGAGAAATGCTGGTTATGGCCTATAGAGATGGGAATTTGACCAATGCAAAAGACTGATTTCCCTAATTCCCTTACAAATTTTGGCCATTCAGCCTGACTGAAAAGCCCGGCCATCACCCAAAGAAGCCAACAGGATCCTCAAAATAAAATTAGTATGAAAATTGGAAAAGGAAACCAGTCTCAGAATCAACTAAAATAAATGCTTATCACCCTAATTCAGAAGACCAAGTACGAAAAACAATACAAGTCCCTCTTGAGCAATTCATCAAATAACTGGCGGGCAAACTTTTTACACCCACATTTCACTAAATAAATGCAATGTCAAGCTAACCTGGTAAATGGTAATAGCTACAATAGTCTGAAATGGTATTGATGATCAGTGTTAGTTTATCTGGCATTGCAATTTACAGGTCAATTTAAGCAACCAATGTCTAATTCATTAACCTGCTCTGATGATACAATAATATGAAACAACCCCTTTACTTCCTGGAAAAAAAAAAAAAAGACACGTTCAGCAAATGCTAAAAGAAAAATTACCTAGACCATGCAAAATGCAATGGTACAATCCTTAGCCATGTGCGGGGGTAGGTCTTCACAGGAGAAAGTTCTTCAAGCCTTTAATGGTCTCTACTTGATGAGAAGTCATAACTTTGTGAGCTCACAAGGATCAATTCCAGTAATTAATGATGTATCGTTTGAGCAGATTTGATACATCTCTGCGGAACAAGGTGAGAAGATTTTGACGTTTCTACCTTCTAGGAAGAAGAACTGTAGCAGAGTCAATTGCCAGGTTAACTGGCTATCTTTTCTTTGCACTTGTATGAAGTCCGTTAAGAAAAGTGGCAATTCTCTGTTATTTGGACCAAGTCCAAATAACTTTCAAACATTATTGTTTGGGCCCTTGGGGGGGCAAAGTGAATTTTTTTATCAATTTTTGGGAGGGCAAAACATAATAATAAAAATTTTTTTACTTAGAAATTTTTTTTAACAATTGGAGGGGGGCAGTTGCCCCCCTGCCCCCCCTTCCCTCCGCCCCTGAGCATGAAAGAATCATTTAAAATCTAGCAAAGCATCACCACTCAGCACTTTGCCGATGCTAGTGTCAGTGCCACTAGCTGGCTGCTCCATCAACCGCCTCCATTTTTGTTTCCTCCTCCTCCCTCTTTCCTCTTCTTGTTCCCCTCTACCCGATCACATAATACCTTCGCTGGCGGAGGTGTTGGCAATGGCGGCTGGTAGCGGGAAGGGAGGAGGAAGAGCAGTGGTGAGGTGGGGAAGAAAAATAGGAGAGAAAAGAAAGGGAAAAAGAAAAAGAAAAATTTTTTACATAACTCAAAAAAATTTTCTATAAATTCTACGGCAACATACATCAAAATTTAATTTTTCTTATAGGGTTAATAACATATACCTCTCTTAAGTTTCAACCAAATTACAAGTCAATCCTTCAGCTTAAGTTCTAAGCTACCCATCAAAGGCCTAGCACTCTTCTTCCAGTTTTATCCTCTCCAAATCAATATTTTGAAATTCAGACCGTTAATTGAAACGATGAAGTGACCGGATCTAGGTTTAACCGGTCGGACTAGTTCAATTCCAACTCTGTTTGGATTGGCCCTTTTTTCAAATACAAGTTTTTCAAATACAGTACTACAGTAATATGTAACAACTCAAAAAACATCTCATCCATACAATATACTCCCTCCGTCCCACTTTGATAGTCCCGTTTTCCTTTTTTGTCTGTCCCAAATTGCAGTCCACTTTCCAATTGAAGAATGTAGTTGTATTTTCATTTTCCTAAAATACCCTTATTCAATACAAGTTGTTGTTGCTATAAACCTACCCCATTTAATGAGAGTTGATTCTTTTTTTACCATCAATTCAAGTTCCCATAAAGTTGTACTCTATTTAATGTGAGGGTATTTTAGGAAAATAGCAATCTAAATTTACTTTTCCAACAAAGTTAACTACTTTTTCTTAAACTGTGTGAAAAAAGAAACAGGACTATCAAAGTGGGACGGAGGGAGTATCAAAATTTTCAAAAAAAATTATACATTACTACAGTGAAATTTTTCAAAAACACCCCAAAAAATAGCTAATCCAAACGGAAAGTAATCCCATAGATATAACATGATAAACAACTAGTGAACATTGTGAGTTACTACCACTACCAGCATCCATCCTAAAATGAGGTATTTAAATACAATTAGTCAAACAAATAAATTAATAAAATGGTTAGTTCCAAATTGAGCAAAATGTAATTAATACATTGACAAAAACCTACTGTCTTCATATTAGTCAATCAAATTAGCAAGTTTATATTGGGTAGGAAAAACGATGCTGAAAATGGAATTCAACAATTTGAGCAAAAATTTAGTGAATTGAGAACTAGCAAGGTCATGAAATTGGACTTCACCAACTAATTAACAACAAGGTCATGAAATTGGTCTTCACCACTATGAAGGGAATTGATAACTAGAAAAGTGATCCATGAAATATCTATATTGATGCTTAGGACATATATACATAAATATATAGAGGCTTTGTATATCACCAAAACAAGAAAGAAATAGGATAAGACTGCAACTATGAATCCATGACATCTTCCGGAAACCACTCCAATTTCATTTTCTAAACAATTCAAGTGCCGCCTATGAACTCCAAGCTATCTAACCGTATCATTACAACATTTAACAAAATGAGTCCCTCGCAAGCAATTCATCAAACAACTGGTAAGCGGACTTGAGACATCCACATTTCACTAAATAAATGCAATGTTTCTAGCCAGAGACCCAACAAAGACATTGTCAATTATTGAAGTTTCGTAAGAAATATAGTAAAATTTGGATTTTTTTTCTTCTAAGGTTTATACGACAATAGTGGACATATTTTAAAATCAACTCAAAATATTTAATTTAACCCATAATTCTAAGTTAAATAGAAAAAATACGGACCAAAAAAAACATGTACACACCAAGTAACTAACAAAGAGCAAAGAAAAAAAGGAGAGAAACGTAAAGCTAACCTAGTAATAGCTTGAAATTTCAGAGCTAACTAGCTAACTGCTAAGCTGTGCGCTTCAACTTTTGCAAGAATACATGGAGAAAAAAATATGGTTAGAAGTTAGAATTCTCTGCCATTGAGTAATGAGATTGTATTTTTGAAATAAAAACAAAGAAAATTGGAGATCCAAGAAGGGAATTAAAGTTGGGATTTTTGTCTTAAGAAGGAAACAAAAAGATAGGAGTACAAAGACTAAAGAGAGGAGAAGGCTGCGATTGTGGAATGTGGAGTTAGTCTTAGGTTAGTTAGACTAGATAGTTAATCGAAATAAGAAATCAAATGTTTTAAAAATAAAAAATCGCAGTTCTTGGTTTGATATGGTTTGAAAGAATTGACCAGTTTTTTTCCAGTTTTGACCGGTTCTTGTCAACCCAAGCTATGAACTGGATCAGAGACATAACCAGTTTGCGGTTCGATCGATTGAACCAGTCAATCCGATCTGATTTTTAAAAACATTGTGAACCCCTCACTCAGATGTCAAGAGCAATTAGATTCAAAAAGTATCACAGCAAAATTTTTGAATTGTGATCAGGTTTCTTATGAAATCAAATTGAAATCAGCAAGTGCAATTACCTGTCAAGAGATGGTGTCAAAAATTTCCATGCATCTATGCATACTTTGCTTGAAAGGAGAGAGACTGCATCCATTCGGTCTAGGAGGAAGAGAATGGTGAGGGAGGGAATAGCAAGATGAAAGTTTGCAGTGAGTTTCTTGGCAGCCGGGTGAAGTAGTGATTGATGCTTTTGCAGCTAGTTGCATGGTTGCTTATTTCTTCCGTCTTCCGTTTATATGTTTGATAATTTTTTTTCTTTTGTTTTTCGTTTTTTTTGTTACTGTATCTCTTTATCATTTAACTCAGAATTTCCTTTTTCCCTTTGTCTCTTTCTGTATTATTTTTGTTTCCTAGTTACTGACTCTAGATTCTTTAATTTTTGCAAGTATATTTATCTTTTCAAAGGTTGTCAACTCTTTTAGTTAAATTCACTAAAACAACTCTTTGTTAGTCTTTTTTTAAAAAAAAATTAAATGGAACCTTTTTATATTTATTTTTTCCAGAATGAAAATTCTTTTGTACTCTTGTGAAAATGTTTATCTTAGAGCCTCATACAAAAAGATGGAAAAATTGTTCTGTTAAATCAGATCTTAAGTTTGCTTCCTTTTCCCCCCCTTTTTTAGGTGTTTGAAATTGCTTTCTTATTAAATACTTATTTCTATTTTTCAGATTGACTATTAAAAAATTATGGTGAATTTTTTTCTATTTTAATCCATACCCGATCCATGAATAATATCGTGAAAAATAGATACCAATTTTTGACTGCTACAATTGAACTCGAAATTGAGCTCAAATAGTATTTGAGTCGAGGTTGAACTCTAAAAAAAAAATAGTACGTGATGAGGTCGAACACGCCCCTGGTATAGAAACCCTCTGGTTTAGGCAATTATTTAATGAAGTCATGGCAAGTGATTCTCATTTGTGTATATAGACTGCGAGGGCCAAACGTAAGTTTGTGGCTGAGGGCTTGACAACTTTGGTTGATGTTGGGGGTGGCATAAGCAAAATTGCTAAGGCCAATGCCCAAACCTTTCCTAGCATCAACTGCACTGTGTTTGATCCCCCACATATAATTGCTAATCAAGAAGGAGCTGAGAACTTGGACTTCGTTGCTGGAGATTTGTTTGAAAGTGTACCCCATGCCAATGCAATCTTACTCTAGGTAATAAAAGACACTCTTCTAGGGGATTTTAGGATTTTCTGCATCCCTTTTTGCTATTCTCTTCGGAACTGTTTTGGTTGCATGATCTCGAACTAGTATATATCCAAGATGGTAACGTGTGATTTTTGTGGTATGAACAGTAGATCCTCCATGATAGGAGTGATCAAGACTGAAAATTCAAAAGAACTGCAGAAAGGTCATTCCAGAGAAAGACTGGTGGTAAAGTGATCATTATAGATAGTCTAATGGAAAGCCAGATACAAGATAAAGTACAACTTCAAACACAGATCGACATGGACATGCAGATGCTGATCACGTTCGGTCCTGCTACAGAAAGAACTGAGAAGGAATGGGAAAACTCTTTGTGGATGCTGGATTTAAGCTACCAAGTATATCCAGTCTGGGTGCAAGGTGTCTGGTTGAGGTTTATCCTCAGATAGAGGAACACTTGCTACTGTGAATGAATGATTAATTGTCGGTTTTACTTTTTTTTTTTTTTGGCTGAGTTACAAATCTCGGCATTTTCTGAAATTGTTTTTTTTTTTTATAGAAAAAAAGTTTGGATGGATATTCACATGTTTTCAAGACCAGAGTTCGGTCATAGAGATTTCTTATAAATCGCTCGTTAATACAATCTTTATATCTTTATATCGGCAACAGGATTTGAACACGCAATTTTTTAGTAGGAAGTAACCTAAGCTGACAAACTGAGCAAGCTTGTGTTGGCTGAAATTCAAAGATAGACCGTGATGACCCTAGTTAGCACTTAGCATCCCCACCTCGGAGCCCACTGTCTAATAGATGTCTGGGACCGCTACATCAATTCTGAAATTCATCATCACGGACGTTTCCACCCAGCCCTACATGGTCTCATTTATTGTCTTCGCATGCAATTGCAATGCAATGCGTTGTACGTGTGCCCATCTCTCTTTCTTTGGCTTCCTCTCTAACACATCCTACACTGATCCACACAATCTTTTTCTCTGTGAAATTAATTGGGTGGTTGGCTGTGAAGCTTTGATAAGAATTGAGAGATGGGATATTTAAGATGAACGCATAAATGCTTCAACAATGCTTGTAGTTACCAGCTGCCTTCCCGGCAGCTACTACTTCTTCTTCATTTACTCCTGAAAATTGACCCAGTTTTTTTTTTTTAAAACAGTTTACCTCTTTACTATTTCTATGACTGCGTGAAGGATAGTTATACTTCCGCACATTTCTTCAAATGTTTCTCTCTTTCTCTTTCTCGAGTCAGTGATTAATTGCCATCTGATAATTAATTGGCTGTGGTTCTTTGTGGTTTTCCTTTTGCATTTACGTTTACTCTGGCTCTGGGGGTACCGTGAGTCGTTTGGAAGATCTACAAGAGATGAAATTAAGGCAATAATTATGGAGAAATTAGACACACAAATTGAGACCCGAGAACACAAACTCACATCTGGTCTTGCCACAAAGTGGAGTTTGACATTGGGCATCATTAGTGCCACAAAATTATGGTGTTCGTTTGCTTGAGCCTTTAAGTCAAGCTAACGATTATGTTTTTCCCGCTCTTTAGTGCAATCCTTTTTCTTGCATGTAGAAAGACTTGATTTTGAATGCACTGTTGTTAACATTGGTTGGAGTATGATCCGTATGCTATTATATTCTATTCTCAAAGTCTTTTTTTTTTATTTTATTGTAGCTGTTCAATCGAAAATTAAATATTTATAATTCATACGTGGTTGTATAAGGCAGTGCATTTTTACATGCCTTAACAAAGTTTAGAATATTATGGGTGATTTAAACTTATTGCAAGTTGATAAGAATTGTTAGGTTTTTTAGTTATTGTTCTATTTAAGAATTTGATCTTTCTCCTAAAATACAAAACTATTTTCTTAAGGTTTCAGGCTTAAACAGATACAGTTTTTGGGACCAGGAAGCAGAGAAAATGCAAAGAATTTTTATCAATCACTTCAAAAGTAATCTTTTAGCTGGAGTTAGCTTTCATGTACAAGAGGTACTTCCATTATGCTTCTTGGCAGATCTGAGCTATGTACAACAAAGATACTGGAACCTTGAGAAGCAAAATGGAGTTTTGCTCTTGAATTCTTGCTACTTTTTTTATTCTTTCTTTATAATATGGCAGCCAATTAATAGTCATTATTTACATCAACAATCACTCACTACAATATACACAAATTTTAGTGATGATTTATTTAAATCTTTCAGCACCAATACATTGTTCCAATGGAGCTTAATAATCTTGATCTTTAAACTACAAAGCAAAGGCCAGAGATGGTTGCAGGATTTCTTGTTGATGAATGTAACTTGAATTGTACAGCTTATTTACTTTTCACAAGTAATAATTTGCATTAAACATTAGTATAAATTGCTTTTGATTATTTGTATTACTGTCCTATTGGCTTTAGTGTTATTTCTTTTTTTCAAACCAACTTTCTTATATCCGTAACTTTATACCTAAATCAATCCATTGCTTAATTGAGACACCGCTGCAGTACTTTCACAATGAAAACATTTGAACTTTTATTGAAAACACACAACTACGGCAGGTCTTGGGCACAACTGCTCATGGCAATCTGCCAACTCCCCTCCCCACCGCGCATTTGCGTGGTGATCCCCTCCTAGTTTTTGTGGAGACGACAAGAGGGTATGGAAAGAAGAAACATGCTCTTTGTTTACCCCTTGATATCCTTTTTGGATCCATCACTTTTCTAGTTTGTGAATCCCAATCTCCTAAAGCTCAAAGAATGTGTCCAGAAATAAAGATAGAATGGAAATCTATCCCATTTAAACTTCCAAACAACACTATTCAGTGGCATTCTGTCTCACTTTTGCCTTTTCCAAGATAAAGGTTCAAATCAACAGCATTTCCTTACCCCCAAGTGTGAGATTTGGCTTTTAACAAAAATTAAGGGAAAAAAAAAAAGTCTACAAAAAGTAGAGTAAAAGTAGGCAATTTTTGAAAGAGATTTCAATCTCTGAAAAACTGAAACCAGTAGTAAGTATAGAAGTGGTAAATTGAGGTACACATTGGCAAAACATATCCAAGATTTGGTGGAGAAACAAAGATAATTCATATATATATATATATATATATATATATTAACATGACACATAAAATTACTTTAATTTAACTCTACATCATATTGGTTCCTCACTGTGAGTGGCATCAAATTGATTTGTTTCTAAATATATACAAGAGAAAAACCATTGTTATACAAATTACTAATTTGTGGCCCAAACAAAAAAGGGAAACAAAAACAATAAGAATTCAAATAGCTTTCCTCTCGAGTTTAGACTACATGTTTAATTTAATTTAGTATTTGGGATTCAACAGAAAAAAGAGTCATTTTGTGGTAACAGCCCTGATCAACCCTCCTCCATCCGCCAAAATGCTGAAGGATGATGTTTGATGGCTAACAGCCCCAAATCCACTAGGCCAAATTTTGTCTGGGTCTCATAAATGACAGGTAGACTGGGCCGACTGCTTTCCAATAATTTACGAAGGACTGGTCCAAAAATTCTTCTGAAAACGATGGACTGGTCCCAAAATTCTAAGGAAGATTGGGTTTGTTTGCATATCATTTTTTTTGTAAAAATATTACTCCCTCCGTCCCATTGAAAATGTCATGCTTTCCTTTTTGGTCTGTCCCAAAATTAATGTCATTTGCTATAATTAGCAATAAAACTTTCCCTCATTTCCATCTCATGCCCTTAAATATACCAGATTCTTTGATGGGTCCCATAAAACTACAAGAGTTGCTCTAATATGCGTGAGTCTCACCGCAAATGCAAACAATGGCCGTGCAAGCTACTTTCTCAAAAAAATGACTGGACACATTTGTAAAGTATGGGTCCCACACATCTTGTCATCCCTGCTTTTTCTTTCTGCCACTCAATGGAGTAATGCACGGAAGGGGTAGCGCTGGAACTTAGACCAAAATGCGACACTGTTGAAAAGAACCTCAAGACCCGAAGTGCGACATTCATTTCGGGACGAAGGGAGCATATGATTACATCATAAGCATATTTCTCCAATACCTTTTTTAAATCCTTCTAATAATTATTTTATTTCATATACATCATATCACAAAAAGTGTTATAATATTTTTAAAAATATTTATTCCAAATACTCTCCGATCCAAACACATTCAATAATTTTGGATGGACCCGGAAGCACAATAATTTTGAATGGACTGATCCTACAATTCTGTGGAAGCACAATAAGCAGAATACTTGCAACCAGTAGCATGATAGACTCTCACTCTTTGGCCTTCTCACAGTCTATATAAGAGCCTAGGTATAAGTCCAAGCCATTTCAAATCAAAGGCAAACTTTTGGAAGACAAAGAGAAGGAATCATGGCAGTCAACAAGATTGGTGCAATGGCTATTCTTTTTTGTGGTATGTTCAATTTTATTCTTTGGCATACGAGTTAAACCTGTTGGGGCAGTTTCAAAAATAAAAAGAGAACTATTCATCCTATCTATATATATATATATATATATATATATATATATATATATATCCAAAAATGAAAACTATCCATCCCATCTCTCAATTGATTTGCACATGATTTTGGTACTGAAAACAGGGATGATCCTTCTGGGAGCAAATGTGGAGGTCACGGCTGTCAGGCCTGGGCCCGACCAGATTTGCCCACTCTATTGCATAATTGGGATCGAGTACGTGGAGTGTGATGGAGAGAAGATCTACACAGACTGCACCAATTGCTGCTTCGCGAACGGCTGCACTCTTCACTTTACTGATGGAACTGAAGAGTATTGTATTTGGCCGGCTCAGCAAGAATTGGGGTTTGGTAAAGGAGTTTACAAGATATAGTACGCTAAAGGAGTACTAAATAATGGGTATAATATATGACCTTTCTAGTATGTATTTCGGTTTCCGCGATGGTGGGATATAACTATGCCAAGTACTATATAAGTGATTCATGAGATAGTGAATCATATTCAAGAAAATGAAAGTATATAGATGAGTACTTTTTCTACAAGAAACAGTATGCAATACATAGCCAAATTCATGATGCATTACCTGAATTGATTGATTACGTACATAATTCTCCCAATGGGACGAGGGAAACAGCAAGAGAGAGGGAAAGAAGAGTGCTAAAAGTGGATGTACGGGTTCTCCAATTTGATGTAATTCTTACAATATTTGTTATAAACTAACATAATTTCAGGATAATTGAAAATTTCCAACTCATACAATTGAATTAAAGACAATTATAATAAATTGTATGAATTTACACCGAATATTATAAAATATTATATCAACCAAGCTAAATTGGAAAAAAAAAAACTCAACTTGAGAAACCATTTTGGATAAAAGTTTCAAGAACTTAATCACTCTGACCAATTCGTCAAGGCAAAAAGAAATATCCTTTCGTATTGGTTACGTTTTCTAAATGAAAATCAAAAAACATTTTTGGATCTAAGGAGATTTTACCAGTGTTTTGAAAACCGGACCGGACCGGCCGGTTCGACCGGTTGAACCGCGAACCGGCCATGGCTCCGGTCCGATTCAATGCCAGATTTGACTTTGTCAAGAAACCGGTCAAAAATCGGTCGGACCGCGAAACCGCTGAACCGGATGTGAACCGGTTATTTCCGGTTTTTGAGTTTTCCTTCTTTTTTTTTTTTTTTTTTTTTTTGCAAAATGTAGTTATCAAGATTCGAACTCAAGACCTTTGTAATAGAAGACCAATGTAGTAACCGTTGCACTATCACATCTTATTAATTTTTTTTGATAACTTATTTATATAAAACAAACACTCATATTTCTTTTGTTCCATTTTTTTTACAAAATATCATCCTTTCATGACTCTTTCTTTTTAATCTTCAACACACACACACACATACACACACTCTCTCTCTATCATCTTTTCTTTTGCCACTCATTTTTTAATCAAACCTCTTTATTTTTAATTTATTGATGTTTTCTTCCATATTTTAATTTTGTTTTTGTCCATTAAATTTAAAAAAGTTAAAAAAGAATTATTTTTCTTTAACCCAATTTATTTAATACCACAACCACTCACTTTTATCTAATTTTTTGTTTCTTATCAAATTTGCATTTCTATTTTCAATTCTCTTGATTTTCTTCGAACTCCAAATTTCCTTTTTTAAATTGTAAATTTAAATTCCAAAATGTAAATTAAAATTTAAGTTCACAATGTCTAAATTCTCATAGACGTGAATTTTGTATAATTTCAAATATTGTGATATTTTTGGATTATATTTAAGATTTTTTTGGTAGATATAATTGAAATTGAGATGAAATTTATTTGTTTTAACTTATAATTTAAAAAATTTATTTTTAAAAATCCAAGTTATTCAAAAATAGTAAACTTTTCATCATATAAAGTATTAAATTATCCATTACATGTATTATTTTGTGCACATATATATTTATATAAATTATTTTTAAAAAAATTCATTGAACCGAGGTTGAACCGGTCTGACCGGTTAAACCTCGACCCTTTCACTTCACCGATTCGATTAACGGTCCGGTTTTTAAAACATTGGATTTTACTTGATTTTGAATCTATTTAACATTAGAGACGTGATGGGAGAAGCCACCGAGAAAGAATTCGTACAGGTTGCTCGAAAGTTGGGGCCCACGCTGCAATAAATTTTGTAAATAACAAAATATAACTTACTCAGACAACACATGCTCTGCACGTTACGTTCGAAAAGGTCGCATTAAGTCCTAGACCCCTAGGAAGCGGGATAAATATCCGCGAGTTATGAAATGTGTTGTCTGCATTTCGTGTTCATAATTTCTCTGATTTTTTGGAGATGGTATAGTTCTTTTGAATTCTCCAAAGTCTAATATTTGAAAAAATTGCTCAAAATGTTTATCACAATTTGTAAAATAACTTTTTTCATTCCTTATTTTGAAAAATATAATTTTACATCCTTTACAAATTGACATTAATTAAATTTGGTTCCTATCTAAGTTTTCGAATAATTTTTTGTAGGAATCTACCACGTGCCTTGTACGTAATTATTTTTTAAGGATAAAATTTTCAATTCATCAATAAAATGTAAAAAATTGATTTGACAATTTTATCTCTTAAAAATGATCACATGTGAGGTACGTAGTAGATTGCGACAAAAAACTAGCCGGAAATTTAAGTATGGACCAAATTTGATCAATATAAATTTATAAGAGATGTAAAATTATATTTTTAAAAATGAAAGATCAAAAAAGCCATCTGACAAAATGTAAGCGATGTTTTCAATAATTTTCCCTTAATATTATAATAATAAAAAAAGTGGCTGCAAAGTGGGATCTTTGAATAGTCTAAGGTATAACAAAAATTTGAGGATACGATTATATAAACAATAACAATACTTGAAAAATAAATATAAAATGAAAATCATGTGTTTGTTAGAACAATGTATTCAGCACAAAATATCTTGGACAGTGAGAATATCCTTAACCTTGGAGGGAAGTGGGGGTGAGGGAGCTGGTGTTATTACAAGACATACAGACAGTAAACCATATCGATTAGGGCAGTATCCCTCTCCTGTGTAAAAGGATTTCTCACCAAAAAAAAAGGAAAAGATATGCTTCATCCCTTACATTTTAGGAAACAAAACTTTTTTTCTTTATTTTTAATATAAAATAAATTAGTCCCTCACATTTTAAAAACGAAGCAAATTAATCCCAGAATGATATCCTGATATAGATTTCAAGGGTAAAATTGAAACATCAGTTTAACTTTAATCAAAAGGATTAAAATTAAAAGTGAAATATATTTTTTGCCAAAAGGGAAGGGATTTATTATCAGTGCTAATATATAGTTAATTGTGTATGTTAAGGTGTCGTGGTTACGTGGCATATTTTATGCCAATGTACTGCAAGGGGATTTTGTGAGATATTACGGGCCTGTTTGGAACCTGAGTTTTTTGGGAGTTTGTCTAAAACTTTACTGTAGTGCACTGTAGAAGTTTTTGAAAAAATTTTGTAGAAGTTTTTGTAAGGTGAAAAACTTTTTTGTAGAAGTTTTTGAAATGTTACTGTAGACGTTTTTTGGATTATTTTTAGATGTAATTTTAAAACATATTTTTGAGTATTTTATAATTTATAATTTTTATATTTTTAAACATTTATGCATTTATAATACATTTATAAATATTTAGAAATAAATATATTTATATAAAAATATAAAAATATAAAAATATATTATATTATATATAATACGTAATATACATATATTTATAAATTTATAAATGTATAATTAATATAAATGTATAAATTATAAATGAATATTATATAAATATATAAATTATAATTTATAAATGTATATGATGATTATGTATAAATGTATTAATATAATTAATATAAATGTATAAATGTATTAATATTATGTATAAATGTATAATTAATATTGTTTATAATTTATAATTTTTATTGTTTAAATATTTATATGCATTTATGCATTTATAAAAATATGCATTTATGCATTTATAAAAATATGCATTTATGCATTTATAATACATTTATAAATATTTATAAATAAATATATTTATATAAAAATATATAAATGTATTATATTATATATAATACATAATATACATATATATTTGTAAATGTATAAATGTATAATTAATATAAATGTATATATTATAAATGAATATTATATAAATGTATAAATTATAATTTATAAATATACATGATTATGTATAACTGTATTAATATAATTAATATAAATGTATAAATGTATAATTAATATTGTTTATAATTTATAATTTTTATTGTTTAAATATTTATATATATTTATGCATTTATAATACATTTATAAATAAATATATTTATATAGTTACATAAAAATATATAAATGTATTAAATTATATATAATACATAATATAAATATATTTACAAATGTAATAATTGTATATTATTATAAATGAATATTATATAAATATATAAATTAATATATTATAAATATATAAATATATAATATTATGTATATATGTATTAATATAATTAATATAAGTATATAAATGTATTAGTATTATGTATAAATGTATAATTAATATTGTGTGTGTATAAATGTATTATATTATACATAATACATAATATAATTGTATATAAATATACATAAATATATATACATAAATGTGTAATATATATAATATGTATTATATATATTAAATATATAATATATAATATTATATAAATGTATAATTACATATTTATATTAATATTAATTTATATGGTATATAGTATTTATATAAATATATAAAAATATATTTTAAATAAAATAAAATATTTATAATATGTTTGAATAAATATATAAATATATAATATTATAAATATATAACATATATAATAAATTTTGAGAGTGAGGGACTCAAAAATTCAAAATTTTTTTTTGAGGTTATCGGAGGCGCCGGAATAGGTGACCAGTGCCGGGAGAGGTGGTGGAAGCGGTGTCTAGTGTGGTGGGTTCGGTGAGGGAGGAAGAAAAGTTTTTGAGAAATTTTTTGTTTATAGATTTTTGAAGTGTGTAGGTAAAAAACTTTAAAAAGTTTTTTGGGGTTCCTGTAGCTAAAGTTGTTAAAAAACTAGTAGCTAAAAAACTTGGCCAAAAAACTCACTTCCAAACAGGCCCATAGATGTAATGGAGATTGGGTTGCTGGTTTCACAAGACGATGGTCAATTTAAAGTTGTTTTAGCTTGATCCAGGATGGGCTAACTTGAAACTTAATAGGAAAGCCTTCGTAAGCCATGTTTTGCCTAATGGTCCATTCTGTATTTGTTGTGGGTTCCAGTCCAGTGTAAACGTGACTAGTTTCAAAATCTTAAGAGGCAAATAACTGCCATTTTCTTTTTGCATTTCACATTTTACAAATATAAATAGAAAGAAATAGGAAAAATAGCACTGGTATATTGCAAGACGATATTTGATATCACTTTACTTTGTGGTATTGTATTCTTGTTGACCTTGGTCGATCAATCCTTGGTTTTGATGATTAACAA